ACATAATTATTCTTCCTCTTGCTGGGCTCCTAGACAGCCATAATTAGGAATTATGGTAATGAGCGCTCACATAGCTGCCTGCACTTGCGTTCAAGTGTGTAACCCACAGAAATAGAAAGGGATACCAGTCAGAACACCCATCCACAACACGATTTCAAACACTAGTTCCCTAGATGAGATTTAAAGGTAGTTTTCTCTCTGGACAATCAGATGGCAGAAAATGACATTATCACTCAGCGTTCCCCTTATGTGGGAAACCCCAAATGGCTTATTTGTATCTGAATTGGCCCTTTTGATTCTGGAGGAAAGAAATATCAGAATATTAAAATTCCGAGCAGTCCTCGTGTATTTGAGTGACCCCCAATGATGTACAAGGGTGAAGTTTAATTTTGCTTGCATTTTAATTTGAACTTCTTGAACCAATACGCAAACTGAAACACAACTACCATTCAAACTTCACACTTCTCCAAATTTCATGATGCAGTTCTCCAACCAATCAGTGTGCACAGAAACTGATAAGCTTTACTGAAGACAACTTGTAGCCTACCAATCCTACCACTGCCCACCATGTATGTATGACAAACCACCAAGCACTCCAGAAATCTCGTATTTGTGCCACTTGCCTGATATAGCAAAAATGGGAAATGCTAAGCAGCTGGCAAGCTTCTTTCAATCTGACCAGTCACAAGCAATGTAGCCCTCACATAAAGTGGCCTGTGGGGTGGGACTCTTCTATAACATAATTCAGGAAAATGCTTTACGATATCAAGAATTGGTAACATACTCCAATCTGCCAGCTGCTTAGCAGCAGCTCAATTCAACAAAGCAAGCAGGAACTAATTTGTCAGAGGCCCCCAAAAGCATCTGGTACAATAAAGCAAGTAGATGTAATATCCCTGAAAAGTTTGTTTGAGGTTCATTAGTCCTAGGCAAGCCCTTATGTATCTCTCATATGTGACACCTTTCCACTCTTTTACTGACCTGTACTCTTGAACCTTCACTTAAACTTTCTAGATGATATGATTTTTCAAGTGGGCAATATACTGTGGTTACTAATTTGCTCAGTAAGATCTAAATGATGCTCTCCAAGGAAGTGGTTTTATTTTTTTGTGGGCTATGATAAGAAGTCTGCACATATTCTCCCCCAACAAGGACCACTGTGGGTGTGGTCAGAAGCATGACTGTGCAGGTACATTTGGTTTTGAATGAATGAACCACAATGAACAAAATGAATGAACCACCATTCATTCATTTTTTTACAAGACAAACAAATGGGGTGTATAATTCCAACCAGTAAAAAACAGTTAACGCAATAATTTATCCACAAGCAATTTAAAAATACCCATATGTTATTACTGCAGCAAATAAGTAGCTATATCAAAAATAGGAAAAGAGGATACATATAGGCTAAGAGCATAAAAGGGCCAGTTACAAGCAGGTAGACTGTCCCCAAGGAAAGTAATAGGAATTGCCTACAAAATAGGAATACTTTGTCCTATGTATCTGAATCTTAACAGGTCTGATATACTGCAAAATTCCATGCCATTTGTATAGCAAATAGCAGCATTACAGACAGGAGAAGCTTGGCTGAGTCTTCCATTGAAATCAGTGGGAGAATTACTGAATTAATGCAATTCTATGCATCCAACTAATGCAATTAAAACAAAGGGGAAACAAAAGAAATGCAATTTAAAAACTGAATGGGGAAATTGTTTTCCCTCTCACACACATGAAAAGCAATGCTATATTATTCATTCCTTGTTTTAGATCTCAAGGGAGTGATATTGTAGTAGTGCAAAATTTAGGCAACCCTTTAAAATGGCAAAGAAAGGGGAAGGAGCAGTCACCATCAGCAAAGCTACCACCTCAAATCCTTAACTGCCACATGTTTGGTTTTTGATTTTGTTGTGTATGGAGGTGGAGAGTCTGGAATGCTTTCTAATGACAATGTGTCAGCCCGGTGTTGCTCCAGCTCTCCCATGATTTCCCAACTTTCCCCCTCATCAGCCTCTGAGCTGTGACCTCCCTCAAACTCCTGTTGTAAATCTATACTGTCTTCCTGTTCCTCCTCCCTGGAAGGGTCAGGATGGAGAGGTGGTCTCCACCATTCCACCTCTGCCCAGTCCCTCCCATCTCTAAAGTTGTCTATCAGTGGGGTCCTTTATGTCTAAGCCATATTTCTATTTATGTTCATCCATGCTATATATAAACATTCGTGGGCACAAAGGCATGACTGTGTATTGCTAGGTGTGGATGAGAGTGTTCCACTGCAGACCACTGCCCGTGTTGACTTTAAATTAAACGGTGTATAATTTATCTGCTGCAAAGCTCTCACATATAGAAGACAAATGTATAGATGTAAATCAAAGTGGAGTCTGATAAGGCACTAGTTTGCTTTAGCATATTTTGTATGATTCTTAATATTCTGGTCCAGCAGGGGAACACATACTGGCCAATGTATTGGCTGCTGATGTGCCTGCTTAATTTCCCTCTTTTATTTTGTGGTATGACAGATGACATGTACTTATCTGTACGTTTCAAGAGATCCTACTGCAATTCTACAGCAATTAGGGAAAAGCCAGCATTTCTTCACCCAGCGCTGACCCTAACAGGCAAGCCCCTGTTCTGCAGTTTCCAAGGAAATGTAACTTAGAGCTATGGTGCTAATTCTTTCCTTTGCCCCATGGAAGGCTTGAAGACTTCTCCCCCTGTAAGTAGTGATCATGTGGCTCTTCATGATAGCACTGCACGACTTGACAGTTTTACCTGCTGGTGCTATTTACATCCACGCTCAGCCTGATCCTTCCTGTTAGAAGTAGGTTTTGCTTGCTTTTAAGTTTCACCCACAGCTCTGTCTAATGCTACAGAAATATTCCTTTTGCATCCATATCCTTTTACAGCTGCACCCTACCTTAGTCTGCAGATATTTTGGCTCCTCAAAGTAAGAACAAAGACTGAGAAAATGGGCACCTCTGATATGAGAAAGCCTCACAAGAGGCTCTGCATTAATTCCTAGCCACGCTGATGGGTGGAATCTTTGCTCGGGATTTTTCTCTGCCTGTATCTAATTTGTCTCAGAAGCCTCGCAGATACTTTTCATAGGCCAATGCTTCCCTTTAAACACGGGGAAAGGACTCAGGCATGCTGACAAGCTGCATCCTCGACGCTGCATCTCTATTTATACTGCATAACATTACCTCATCTCCAGCCAATCGGGGCTTGCCATGCCTCAACACTCTCTTCCTCCGCCTTGTGCTACACCTGCCACTGCCACCGGAGCAGCCCACTGCCAGATCAAGCATGGGGGAGTACAGAGAACCTGCGGCTCAACAGTTAGTAGTCGGGGGGGCGACGCATGAGGCCATGCAGTTAAAACAAAATATAAACAGGTGGGCTCTTGGCACACATTTCTTTTGTAGCTGAACTGAAAGGAAAGCGAACACAAAATTTCAAGCTCAGTAACAAAAGGCAGCGCTCCCTTCTGCTAGCTGGGCCATTCCAGCTTCACTGCTTCATCAAAGTGTCTGGGAACAAGGTGACCCTCCTGTCTCGTGAGAGGCGTCTTGGAGGGGCATCTGCAAGCTGCAGCACAAGTGGAAAAAGTTCCTGACAGGCTTGAAAGCTCCCGTAGGGAGGAAAGTCAGTGCCTCTTAAGCAGAGGTGAAACTAAATGGGCTTTATTACTACTGCTATTCTTGCAACGTGAAAATCAGTGTCAAAAATCCAAATGTCCTTTCAGATATTCTGGCTTTGACAACACTGGAAACAACCTAAAGCAATTGTGCACATTTAGGTCTTAATTGCTAGACACAGCTCTGCTCAGTGAGCACATGATGTAGGGTTGGGTTATTGCTGGGAGAGGGGAGGAATTTGATTTGGTTCATGTTTAAAGGTGAACCTACCTAATTTGCCCGTTCCTTAACAATATATAAGCCAAAACGCACTCGCCCATCAAAATTCATGTTCTGAATTTTGCAATGCAGTTTTCCAGCCAACAAATGTGTACAAAAATGCATATATTCAGGTAAAGTGTCCAGAAAAGTGCATATACTAGTGAAAAGAGCATACAAGATGCATCATTTTAGGGGAAATTTCCCAAAAATTGGCATTGTAGGCAAAATTGCATACAAACAGCTGTATATTAAGAGAAATTTGCACTAAAATGCTGATGAATTGTCATAAGGTCTACTTATTTTTTTAAAAATCACAAACTGATCTGGTTGGCCACTGTGAGAGAAGAAAGCTGGACTAGATGGGCCATTGGCCTGATCCAGCAGCCTCATCTTACTGTTCTTATATGGAGAACCGATCTTTAGACTGGGAAAAATGGGAAAGTGGGAGAAATCTAAACTGACAGATTCACCCACCCCTCATTATTGCTGCACTTGTACTCTCAGTGGCAGAAGTAATCCAAAAGCAATTCTCTCATGTTCTCCCTGTGTGTTTGCGTGTGTGTGTGTGTGTGTGTGTGTTTATAGATATAGATATGAAATCATACATTGCATTAGGTCAAGTGCCCTGCAGGAAATTATTTCAGTGAATAGACCTACATTATTTACCCGAAAAAAGGAAAGCTTTCATTGTGATGCATCATTTCATGAGTATCATTCTGTGATTCATAATCTGAAACATTCCAATTCATGACATCAACATTTACAGTGTTTCGGTTTGGGACATATCCATTCATAAGGATGCAAAAGGACATTTAGTTTCCTAGCATTGTGCTGCTCTCATTATTACTACTAGATACATGATGTTCTGAATCAACTGGGAGTACAAACAACACACACACGGGCCTTTGCCCAAGTTCCAACCTGTTAGGACAACAGAAGAATGGGAGATCAGAAGCCTTTAGTCCTGTCAGGAAAAAGGTGGTGTATACATTATTAATTAATGATAATTCTCATGAAGAAATAGAGTAAAAGAGTAATGGAATTGTAAAGTTGGAAGGGACCCTGCAGATCATCTAGCCCAACCCTCTGCAATGCAGGTAATGCAGCTGTCCCATACGGGGGTTGAACCTGCAACCTTGGCATTATCAGCATCATGCTCTAACCAGCTGAGCTATCCAAGCTATTCTAAATGTGAGGCAGGTGGGATGCTGCCAAAGATCACTGTGCTTTTTGTTTTGGCTTTCAGGTGAATCAGTACAAGTCCCAATCATGCACATATGTAAACTGAAGCACATCAACCACAGTTGAAAATTGTACATGTAGTATAATTTTTTTACACATACCACAAAACTCGCGCAGCAAACCTGTTTGATTAAGGTAACCATACATATTCCAGGCTTCCTCAACCACAGCTCCAGATGTTTTGAGACTACAATTCCCATCATCCCTGACCACTGGTCCTGCTAGCTAGGGATCATGGGAGTTGTAGGCCAAAAACATCTGGAGGGCTGAGGTTGAAGAAGCCTGGTCAAGAAGGTGATTTCTGCATGTGCTGCAGAGGGAAGTGAGGGGCAGGTGGAGCTTGTCCCTTCTCCTCGCCCATCTAGGAGAAGGAACATTGACCCTAAACCTCAACTGCCTTGTGCCTATACTCCTCCATGAGAAAAGCTTTGGGAGTAAACCCTGAGGAAAAATCCATACTCACTGCCTCGTAGGATATCTTCAGAAGAAGAAAAGGCTAAGGAATAAACTGTACACAAATCCAGAGCAGAGTTCCTAAGATGGTTGGATGGTGCCTTGTACACCTCCTGCTCCTGCAGCCCAGCTGGTGCCAAACATACTGCTCTGCTTTCCTTTGGCCCACACCAGTGAGGCTGAGAAAGGAGTTTGTCACCTGGGTGACAAAAAAATGATACCCATTGCTGGAAACTGCAGTTGGGGAATGTTTTCGTGGCCAGGTCCTGCTGGAGGGCTTCCCATGGGCAACTGGCTGGCCACTGTGCAAACTGCATGCTGGACTAGATGGGCCATTGGCCTGATCCAGCAGGCTCTTCTTACGTTCTTACCTAAAAACAATTTCTGTTCATGGCAAGACTGGGGATGCTTCTGTATTATCTTAAGAAGGGAGAAGGAAAGGAAAGGCACTGCACCACCACAAAGTATTTAATATTGTATGCACACAGTGGCAAGGTGGGGAGAATGACTACACAGATGCTGCATGCATACAATGTTAATATCTTCCCGTATATCTAGAAAAGGGGAGGGTTGGCTTTGATTTCTGTGGCTCCCCCCCCCCCCATTTTAAATGTGGCTAGACCAAATGCAAGGAAAATACTAATGAAGCAAGTAGGGAGAAAATCAGGGGACTGCTGAATCTCTCTCTTAAAAGATTTGGCTTGCCTTTATCTACTTGGGAATAAATTCAGCAACACACAGCAACCTTTTAAGAACTAGCAAGCCCCAAGTCAAAAGAGCCTGCTAGTCCTGCCCATCTAGTCCTGCATCCTGTTCTCACAGTGGCCAACCAGATGCCTCTGGGAAACCCGCAAGCAGGACCTGAGTGTAACAGCCCTCCCCCAACTTGTGATCTCCAGCAAATGGCATGCAGAGGCATACTGCCTCCAACAAGGGAAGTCAAACATAGCCATCATGGCTACTAATATGTAAATTGCACATGCTAAGGCAGCAGTAAGCTCTTCAATTTAAAATGATAATAAAAGATGGCCAGTGCTGAAAGACTGAATTCAAGGTTTGAACTAGAACATATTTTTGCAAGTCATCCTGCCTGGGCACATTTCCACCATAAGGCTATTTTCTGCTCACCCTGTAGAAAGCCAGGTCACAACAGCCACAACAAAAGGACCCTACAGAGCATCTCAGACCAACACGTATTTATTATGCCATAAGCTTTTGTAGATTACAGCCCTCCACTTCATCAGCTGAATGTTGCAGGGACACTTTGGGCTACAAGAGGCCAGGCTAGTTATAAACCACAATCACGAAGCACAAAGGTAATAAAAACAACCATTTGTCAGACCCCCGTTGCAAACAGACACAGGCGGCTGCATTCCAGATAGAGAGCTGGGGAGGAATTCAACGTAGCGCTATGGCGATCGTTCTGTCAGCGCAGATATTCAGCTTGCCAGATGAAACAATCCTCCTCTCCTCCCCACCTACTCCTGTACTGTATTGGGGGGCGGGTTCTTCCAACCCCTCCCCAGAACCAATTTCAGGTGGATGAGGGTGGGGGGGAGAGAAGCTCTGTTGCACTAGAAGAAATTCTTGCATGGGCTTCTGCTAGAGTGATCCTCCTGTACAGAATTTCCTCCCAGGAAAACTACTGCTTTAGGGCAAAGGCTGCTCACCCCCAGAGGACCCTCTTTTCTCAAAGGCCCCTGCAAAGTGGGCTTTTGCCCTCTATCCAAGGCCATTGCTGTGCAAACTAATGGAGGCATCACTTTCAATGGCTGATTTGAGAAACCAGGAGATCCCCACGAGCATATTAAGGTGGAAGGAGGCTGGTTCCAGTTCAACAGCTCTGGATCCTGTTACCAACACATGAACTAATGAAGATAAAGATGGTGTTTGCAATGTGAAGCACTCGCACAAACACTTATTATATAGCAATACCGGCATAGCAGTGCGAGTGCAATGACATATTTTCTGCCTTCCTTTTTTTGGTACTCATAAATCTGCTGCATTACAAAACTCCGCTGATGCCAAGTGTTTAGCAAACACACAGGCTTGGCAGCCACAATGTTACTAGAAGGGACTTGTGCCTTGAGAAGCAGCTCTGCCAACTGCCGCTCCTGGTTACACTGCTGTAAGCTTCCACTATTCTCCTCTGGCTACCCTGGCACCAATCATAGGAGCCAACAATAATAAGCGATCAGCTCAGTGCCTTTACAAGCAAGCAGCACTGCACTGAAGATGTTGAGGGCTTTCAAAAACTTGCTCAGTAGGATGCTTTCCGTCTCCACATTCAGATCCCTTGCAAAAAAAACTTGTACCCACAGGAAAACACATACTCTCCAACATTTCATCAATTAAAATAGGCCTGGTGCATTTGTATTGCCTGTTACCACATCAATATCACTAAATAAGTAGAGATGGATGGATTGGCCCATTTCCATTCTGCTCCATTCCATTCTTTTTTCCTTTCGCAGGTTTAAAAAAAAATACAAACTGCATCAAGGGGCGCACGGTTAGTTGTACACGCTTTCCCCTAAAGCACACATTTTGTATACATTATTTTTAAAATGCAGTTATATAGGCTTTCCAATGCATTTCCCCTAAAACATGCATCATGGTATACATATATATATATATATATATATATAATCACAAAATGTGAAGACGTGCGAGCTGATCAATAGCTGTGCTCTGATGTGCATGCGAGTCAAGTACCTGCAAAGTTCCCTTTAAAAGCAGACTGAACTAATGCCTCCTCCATCTCCACTACACATGACTGAAAGTTGTTTATCTCCTGACACACTTTGTATTCATTTATTATGGAACAAAGCACCAGACACTGGATTCTGGTGATATGTTGGTAAAATGGCCATAGAAAGTAATTCACCAGACTGTTTAAGCACACAATCTACAAGGCTATGCTTATGACAGAATAGCTGCAGGTCATACAGATTCAGTGACATTTATTATCTGGATGGGTTGTTATAGAGGGATGGAAGTGAGGCAATGCATGTTTTGTGTCCACAGACATGCACTGATACACATTTGCAGTAGTCAAGTTGTATCTTCCTATTCTTCAAGTCTGAGATACTCTAGCAGTGTGTGTGTTCATGCAAAGAAAATTATTCAGAAGGTGTGTGTTCTCCTATGGAGTATTTAGTAACTCCATCCTATTTTAATTTATTCAGTACTTAAGCTGCAAGTAGCTGCTGTAAAATCTGCCTAGGGTGTCTAGTTGCTGCTGGTGAAACATGTTCCCACTATCAAGCTTTTGCACCCCAGTTTCTTGAGCCAAAGCCTCTTTACTGCTTAGGCATATTAAACGCAGACGTATGAGCAAATTTGATACATGGTGGAATAAAGGCAGGTTCTCCATCCACTACTGAACTCTGCATGAACCCAAGTCTTCTACACAATACCGGTTTGGAAGTGTGAACAGGCCCTAAGAAAAAAGAGAACTGCAGCTTTGATCTTATGGGCCTTGCTGTTAAAAAAAAACCACTGTCCTTGTTTCAGGGAAAACAAGGCTGTACATCACCAGGGCTCACTGTGATCAGGTGGAGGAGGGAACATGGGGCAGTTTCTATTCAGAGTAAGAGCAAGAACATCGTCTGCTGTTGGGCCCAGGTAAATGATAGACCTTTTTTGTTCTGGCAAGTGAAAGAAATAATGAGACTTTCAGCAACTTTTCTTTGATGGCGTACATTTCTGCTTCACATTAGCAATTTCAGTGGATGCATTTATCTGCAAAATTGTTTGCATTTTGAATTCAAAGCTTGCTGGTGGTTACATTTCAACTGGCTGATTATCTATTGTTAAATCTCAGTGTGTTCTGCAAGTTTAACCCATGAAATCAGAAGTAAGCACCAGTGAGTTTAATAGCACTTACTTCCAGGTAACTCTACGTATTCTATTTTTAAAAAGTTTAATCTTTAAGGGGTCATGGGACTCCTTCTTGAAAGACTAGCCATCCTCCCTCAATGTTGTACTTAAATTTCTTTGCAAACCTGCCTGCCTCCCTGGGGGTATTGCTATGGACTTGGGGTTTGGGGACATGGATATGGATATGGTGGCTCTCAGCGTGAACTTCAACATTTACCAACACACCACAGATGGAAAGTGGCCTGTTGCATGGTACAATTTCCCCCCTCACCGTAAGACCTGGTTACAGGTGCCCAAAGCCCATCATAACAAGGGAGAAATGAGTCTGTTTCTTGGGATAGAGCTTAATTTATTCTCCATCCAGCAAAATGTACTGCTTTTATGCATTTTAGGCAACTTTTCAGAATATAAAAAACAAAATTCACATCACAATTTTCAATATAGGTTTTCATAAACACTCAGGATTGAAAATGCATACACCTCTGCTCTAATTATGGCTCACACTTATATTGTCCTTAAGAAATAGCTAAATATTTCCCACTCACTAAGTTCACTACTAATAAAATCCCATGGCTGCTACTGTCTTCACACTGAAATTATACATGGT